AACACTAATGGTGTCATATTCTGTAGTCCAATATTGTGGAAGGTGCTTTGTTCTCCTTGTGAGCATTAAGTACCTGGTTAGGTTGTCTGCAATGTCTCTGAATGTCTTTCTTTGGGACATATGAATTTGTGGCTGTCACCATTCTCCTGGGCCTGATATGAAGCTTTTCTTTAAACTTTCCCATTGTGAATTTGGTTCTAGCCATATCAACAAGGACTTGATCATGGAGCAGGGCAGGGAGGCCTGCTTCTCCTGTGAGGAGTCCTTCATGACTGATTATAAGATGATGATGACTATGGGTGGTGGACATTTTTCTGAGGTGAAACTGGTCTTCCATGTCCCTACTGTAACCTGTTTGACTATAATAGTTCTTCGAATGAAGAAGAACGCCTCGCTTGTTGCCAATGAAGTCAGCATCATGAAATCTCTCCAGCATCCGAACATCATCAAGTTTTTTCATGTGGTCCAATCCAGAGACACCACCTACTTAGTGATAGAGCACACATCACAGGGAGATCTTCTTCGGCACATTCTGGAACTGGGGTCCTTAAAGGAGAGCGAGGCACGAAGGCTATTTACCCAGATTCTCCTTGCAATGCAGCACTGCCATAACAACCATATTGCCCATAGAGACATTAAGGCCAATAACATACTACTCGACTGCAGGGGTAACGCCAAGTTGTGTGATTTTGGCCTTGCTATTAAAGTGACCCCAGGGCAGAAGCTGAGGGATATCTGGGGGACTCTGCTCTACTGTGCCCCGGAACTCTTGGTAGAGAATGCCTATGATGGCTGTGCCAGTGGTATTTGGAGTTTAGGTGTGCTCCTCTTCCTCATTGTGGTCAGGTGCTTTCCCTTTGGGGCTAGCTCTTCTGAAGGTGTGAGGCGTCAGATCCTGGCTGCAAACTTCACAATACGTGAGCACATTTCCATAGATATTTTCAATGTCATCATCGAAATGCTGATGATCAACCCGGACAGGAGGCCCACTATTGACAAAATCATGAGGCACCCCATGATCTGGGAGAGTAATAGGCATTCACCACCTATTTCCACACAGAAACACCCTGGCACCGTGAGCCCTGGCATTGTCAGCACCATGACAGTCATGGGGTATAAGTCTGAGGAAATCATTGATTCTCTGAGGGACCAAAACTACAACCAGGTAATGGCCACCTACCTGATTCTCCAACACCAGTCTCCTGGAGGAGACTGCATCCATCAGCAGGTGAAACCCATGCAGCCAGGCCATGTCCTCAAACTGGCAGATCTTCAGGCCTTCCCTGTGCCGCGAAGGAGAGCTACTGAGCCTGCTTCCCTGAACTTCACCTTGCCATCTAAACCCCAGGAGAAGGAAGGTAAGAAGAATGCCAGGCAGTTTGGCACAAGCATAGCATGCCTGCCACCCTCTGCCGCCAGTTAGCGAAGATCTACCATTCCCACCTAGCGCACCAGAACCATCATCATGCTCTTTTCCTCATGTGCAGCAGTGAGGAAATGAGTGAGGACTTCTCTGATTCCAAGATCGGGTCAAGTGGCTGCCTGATGGCCAGTGTCCTGCCATCTCTCTTTATGGACATTGCTTCTTCTAGGGCATGGGACAGGAAGATCACATGGGACATAGGAAACATATCTTCCTGCAGTAACCAAGAGGAACTCTGGAGCTCTGTGAAGACAGCTCAGAGTATAACCCCCAGAGTCTCCTTCTCTGGGGATACGTTCTGGGTAGACACCATCACACAAGAAGAAGACTTTAGTAAGGAAGAGAACATCACCAAGGAAGAGGCCATGAATGAGAAAGATATCATCACACAAAAACCAACAATAACCCAGGAAGAGTCTGTCACAGAGGAAGTGACCATTAACCAGGGAGAAGATATCACACAGGAAGCAACCATAACCCAGGAAGAGGACATGGCACCTGAAGTGACCATGACTCTGGATGAGACCAGGACAGAGGAAGTGACCACGGCTGATGGAGTGATCATGGCTCAGACTGAGACCCTCACAGAGGAAGAGACCCTCACGGAGCATGAAGACATCATTCAGAAAGCTACCATCATTCTGGAAGTGAAAATGAACCAGTTAGTGACCCTGACTCGGGAAGATAGCATCACACAGGAGGAGGCCATCACCCATGGCCAGCCTGAGGATGCTGGCCCAGCTTCTACCCATAACCAGAGGATCCCCAGCTGGAAGAGGGTCAAGAAAATTTTGGTGAGCTGCTTCAGACACCTGTTCTGCTGCCTGCCACCTGTCAAGAGAAGACGCACCTCTTGAAAGACCCTGGCTCCAAAGAAACGGGATCTTGCAGTCACCCACAGAACCAGGTGGAGCAAATATCCCTCTTTATTCATTCTTTTTCTGCTCTCCTTTGTGACAGAGGATGGATGTGCCCTATTGTGGCATCCTTGTGAATTTAACAACCTGTCCCTTAAGAAAGAACAATCCCAGGGAATGCCTTTAAGTGTGACCTCAGGCATGTTGAGCTACAATTGGGCTGCACAGATGCTGATCAGAGCAGGGAGAGCAGGAGATGGGGGCACGGGCAAAGGAAGCAGAGATTCCTTGGAGGACCAGTGGGGTACTTAGGTGATTCAGGGCCATCTCAGTAAGTTCTGTGTTCCAAAGTCATGAAGGGTCTCTTTCCTGTGTCTTTCTACTTGTAGTTCTGAAGACGTCAAGGCCCAGCTCCATGGCTTGTGAACTATGGGTTGGGGATTGGTCTGGCTGAGATGTGGACATCCCACAGTTGATCCAGGCCAGTTGTCCAGGAGGCAGTATGGCCACTGGCTCATCTTCCTGCAAAAGAAGAAGAGCTGTCCACCACAGTCAGCTCTCATCGGGTAAATTCCCAGGCCAGAAGGGCAGGCTTTGCATGGAGTCTTGTTCAGAGGGCAGGACTGATTTACAAAGGTGGCCAAGTATGTCTTGTAAAACAATAAATAACACCTTGCCGCTCTACCCTACCTAGATAAACATCATGGACTGCCCTCTGGGTAATGACTGTGCTTTGCTCCCTGTTTCTTTGCAGGGAATATAGTCATTTCCATTGGGTGTGCATTTCTGCCCCAGGGAGAGTATTCCTAGTCAGCTTGTCCCATCTGCCACAAGATGGGTGTGGTCCCAGGTGGAGAATGTCCCCTGCAGGCAGCCCTGCATAGTGCTCTAGAGGGCAGCCTCCTCCCAAACACTTGCAAAAACCTCCAAATCCATCACAGCAAATTCCATGACCTGAGTCCTCAGACCCCACTCAGAGCACAGCTTTTGAAAATCTCATATGTGGAGTGACTCCAAGGGGGCTGAGCCCTCTCTCTGCACCAGTTCTGCCCCCTGGTTACTCACCTGCTCTCTCTCCATGCTTCTTCTTCAAGGCCACCATTCAAATTGGGAACTGGATTCTGCACTCAACACCACTAATCAGAGTCTTTTGAAGTACCACAAACATGAGTGAGTTGTAGCTGACACAACTCTTTTTCAGAAGCTGGTGTGCTGTGGATGGGAGAGAAGTAAAGGAGGCTGTTCCCATCCCATGTTCTCAAGGACTAGTGTCAGTGTGTCCAGCTAGCTAGTTCTTGGTCCTGGCTTCTTTCAAGCACAAAATACAACCTGGTGGAGCTTGCCATCCATTGCAGGTGGAGACAATCCCTACTCCCAAATCTTAATGCCCGTTTCTGACCAAACAATCACATGACATCCCATCACAACCAAATGTTCCTCATGAAACAGAATACCTTTCCCATCGAGAGATGAAAACCGAGCATCCAGATGCCCAGTGTATATTTTGTGAGACTGATGTCAGGAATTGGCTTGAGCATTGAGTTATCCCCTGTGCACTGCACTGAGGAGCTGTTCAGTAAGTATTGACCATGGGGGAGGTGTGTGGAAGAAGGTTTGGGGGGCATGGGAACCCCCCTCCAAAGGCATAAAGCAGCTGGCCCTTGAAGCTGTGAGACTCTCTGGTGTAATGCAGCCCCTTGTGGCCTTTCTATACCAGCTCCATGTCATTTGTACACCTGATTTGCTGCAGTCCCTTCTTCAACTCAGGCCACAACTGGGTTGGTTAGGTGGGGTTCTTGTTGGGGTGGAGGGAGGCATGCCCTGCTAAACCCATCTGACATACTTTTGTCCTTCCTTATTTCTTTCCCCCTTTCCCATTTACATTAATAAACAAACAGCTTTCAAACCTGGGCTACCCAGGCAATGTGCCTGAAGAAATTTCCTAGACAGAGAGCTGCTTCTCCTGGACCTGATCTCCACAATGAGCATGACTGGGTGGCTGGTCAAGAATGAAATTCACACCAGGATGAGATACAGAAGCACAAGAGGGTTGGCAAGGTGTCTGTCTGTCCACTGAGAGCCTGCTTCCCTTATGAGATATGAGTACATTCCCCAGTAAGCTTGGAAAAGAAGAAGCTGGCTGGCTGAGGCTTGCTACCACAGTACTTGGACATAGAGAAATGTGCATGTCCTTTTTGTTTTTTTGTTGTTTTGTTATTTTTGTTTATTTATTTATTTATTTGTTTATTTATTTATTAGACAGGCTTCTCTGTTTGGCCCTGTCTCTATATCCAGATTGGCATGACTCTCAAGAGGTAGGAACAAAGGCATGCAACACCACCGCAACCACCACACTGCGCTACAGGTGCATCCACCTTGCTGCCCTGGAGAAAGCCTGTGTCCAAAAAACAAGTTGTAACATCATCTGGGAGATGAAATTGGAGGGAATACATGAGCTACTTGCATAAAATTTGACATAACACACACACACACACACACACACACACACACACACACACACACACACCTAAAGTAAGCATAGGGATAAAGAAGCACAAAGTTAGGTGATGGTCTAGGTATCCATTGGAAGACCTGACATTTTCTACAGGACCATCCTTGTGAGCAAAACCACAGTGGGTCGTGGTGATGCTATTGAGAAGCAGGGGGAGGTCCTCTCTAGATGCTAGGTAGTTGACAGGACCCAGCATGCCAGGTATTTGGGAAGCTTATTACTGCTTAGTAGATGCAGTTGTTGGGATGACAAGATGCACCAAGCTTTTATAGCACTTGGATCACCAAATGTCTCTGCTCTCTGCAGCTTGGAACTAAGAGATGGTCCTGCACTAGGAGACAAGAACACCAACTGTAGGGAAAGCTGTAGCCACGCCTTCTTCGGGGATGGCTACAGGTGTGCCTGACCAGGCTTGTGAGGGCGTGGTCAGAGTGACGTAGTGGGACTGCGTTTTTGGTTTCGGTTTCTCTTTGCGGCTTGCTGTACAGACATCTACCACACCAGCTGGCTGGGTCGCTCTGTAAGTAAGGCTTTTCCCTATTAAATACCCTTATATTTCTACCTGACTCCGTATTGGTAATTTCCCACAATATCTGGTTGTCAGAAGCGGGATATTAGAAACCTAAACCCCATTTGGGACAGGCTGTGGGTTCCATCAGGCCCGAGGCCTAGGCCCGGAAAGCGCCCTCTCTCCACAGGCGTTCCTGGCTAGCAGCAGACCTGCTGCAGCTGAGTTTCCCGGCTAGCAGCCGACCCACTGCAGCTGAGCTGTTCAGAACCATCCACCCAGCTCGGAGACAGTTTCTAGCTGCCTAGAGTCCAGGTAGGCCTCAGCTTTCAGCAGAGGCTTCCCCTGGCCTGCGGGAAAGCCGAATCTGTTTCAGTGGTTGCGGCCGCAAGACCGTATACTCTCTAAGATAAGCGCAGCCGCTTTTGTGACCTCTCACCACTGCTGACTGACTGCTGCCAAATGCCTTGGAATACCTGAACGCCTGTGCTACCTGCTGGTCAAATATATTTACTGCATCTGGAGTAGAAATCAGATAAAATTATGGCGGAATATTTATCATTTGCTAAAATTGGTAATATTTTTGCTTATTACGTGAATTCACTGTTTGAGGAGGATGTTAATGTGCCAATTACTGGCCTATATGCCATAATGGCAAATAGTATTACTAGCCAAAGGACTCAGGAATAGGGATAAGGATAACCTCACCACCT